TGGTCTGTTGAATAAAATCAAGTAAAACACAACAGAAACTGAATTTTAGTTTTCATTTGTGTAATCTGATTAAAATGTCACTGATTTCTCACTCCCTGCACTGTGTTTATATTAAGGCTAAAAGTGCAAGATGACTTTTAGTGCATGCACAAAAGCATGCATGTTCTACCATGTCTTCACAGTACTTTAGACCCTTGACTATAGGTGTTGTCAGGTATTGAAACTCCTCTTGACTGATAAAACTTAGAGCATCTTAAGCCTCGTCTTGCAGCATGACTAAAGGGGCAGCAAAAACAATGTGATTTAGAGGTCTGATTAGCATTTCTGAGCTGAAGTGAGCAGTATTTTGCATTTTAGTATAAAGAGGGTTGTCTTTTATCCCTGCTTGTCTGAAAGAATAAAGTTTGTGGAGCTGTCAGTCTATCAGTCAGTCAACCCTTAATTATTATAATGAGAAAAGATAACTTAGAGCTGACAATCTGGAAGGACATTTTTAAATATCTGTGCTGAGGAGAATTTTCTGTAGTCTGAAGTGTAAAGAGAGTTCATTGTTAACACCAATATGTGCTTACAAGCAACCCAATATTTCTATTCACCAGAGCACAGGCCATACCCTGTTCTCCTGCACTATTCATTAAGACAGAGGAGGGAGCATTCTGTGATGATCGTTCCTGTGTTACTGACAGGTACGTCTCAGATTGCTAGAAGGAGTGAACACAATGGACAAAGATACAGTGCCAGGGTCTCCAGAATTTATAATTAATTTCTTGCCACTTGCTATGATATGTAGGCTTATTATTTTGCATTTCCTGTTTGGACAAAACAGAGATTCTCTGCTTCGGGATTTTCCAATGCAAAAAATAGAGGGCACACACTATAAATATAATAATATTATAACCTATTATTAAAGTATGGTGCAAATAAAGATTTAAGAGCCTTACTGTACAAAGCATAAAAACAACTATCATCTGAAGAAAATATGACAAAACCAGAGGCTGGATTTTGGATGGTTTTTGAATTTGTAAGTCTAAAGCCGTCTTTGGCTTGGGTTCAGGCTATATTGTAGCCTGATTAATCTGCTAGGCCCTCAGATGTTAGGGGTTGTTCAGTTAAAGCATACTTGAGTTTATTGCCATGGTGATATGTCACCGACATGCCGAATGTAATTGTATCACTGGCTTTTCTCAAGACTCCTTGGCAATGCATGTTTCATGATGACTAATAAATTATTTAGTGTTTCCACTGCTGCTAAAGGGCACTGTGAGGATTAGTGTACACCACTACCCAGGTCCAGCATCAGGATCTCTGCCACGCCATTCAAGACTCACTCCTCAACACAGTTATTAAGAACTATTTATTGTGTACCTGTGACTTGATGCTTCTTAGACTAGAACACTACTCATGCAGTACAAATATCTGTCTTACTGTATAAATACTACAGTAATGAATACATGGTACCTCTTCTCTCAGGCTAGAAATAATCTTGTGTCTATCTAAACACGAGAATTACTTTTTATGTGGCTGGTTTAAATTATTTTCACACATGTATGCTTGTACACATGTATACAAATGAGTGTGTTAATTGAAGATACAGTTTAGCATAGAACGTATTCAGAGGTGCAAAGATATAATTAATTTTGATCAATAATCTACATGCTCACTTGTTTTTCTATTTTAATCTGTTGTCCTAAAATGACCTTCTAATCCTTACTTTGGAGGGACTCTGCCCATTGTAGGTCTCTACTTGGTGAAGTTTTGACTCAAATAGTGACATGAGTGAAGCAGAGACCAACGCCAATCATAAAGATCATAAAGCTAAACTGTATAATCTAGAACATAAAATCAGTGGATGAGCCATTTTAATTTTTAATGATTAATAAGTATATATGTGTAGTATTCTGCCCACAGATTTACAATTACAGTAAGTCTAAGCCAATACACACTTTACAGTTTATCACCAACGCCATCACTATTAAGGTTATTGCCTTCCCTGTGGAAACAACAGTGTTTATACATGAACAACAGGAGTTGCCTTTCTGTAAAAAAGCTGGTTTAACCAATGTAACTGTGTTGATTTATTCCCCCTTTGTGTATTTTACCTTGGAAAATTTATTAGAAGACTTAAGTACATTCAATGTGGATTCATCATGATTTTACTTTAGTTCTTCATAGGTTTCATTGTGCTTTACCTCATTGGAATGCCATTCTATACTGTACCTCTATAATGTTTAAGAAGCCATATTTATATTGGTGTGGCCCAGTGTCGTAAATCACAATGAAAGTTGATATCAGAGGAAACCTCTGAAAAACTAAAGTAAAATCATGGCAAAAGCACACAAAATGTCAGGTGAGTTGACCAAGGTGAGCTCTAACTGGAGTTTGCAGAACTTGGTAGTGTCCGTGTGAATATTTAGAGGAAGCAGCTGCGAGTCGGCTCCAGCCAGTTACAGACAGCTCCAGCTGTGGTTATCAGGCCAGGCCATGGAGCAGGACTGCCTTCCCTCTGAGTGTGGGACGAGAGATCATGGGGTTGGGGGTGAGAATGTCTGATTGGATTCAGAGAAAAAAAATACTCACAACGCCAGTGCAATACAATACCATTCCGGAGAAAAATCAATTCCAAAGTTATTGTCAGCAGAGACCTGCATAATAAACCTGTTACAAAAGAGCACAGGATCTGATATCAGAAAGAAAATTAGACATACAAAAAAGATTCTGTTGAGTATTTATGAATATTTATTTACATGCATGGTGTTTATATTTCTTTTTTATACATGTTTGTAAATAAATCTTGCCTTTCTAGTTGTGGTAGGTTTAGAATGACATGTCTTTTTTGTTTCTATAATTTAAAAGTACTGTATGAGCGCACTCCGCTGGGCTCCTTAAAAAAAACAGGAATAGCTTTCAGACACTAGTAAAGCGTCTGCTGACAGCCTGGAGGTTGAAGGTCTTTTGGTTTAGGTCTAGTTTTCTTTACAGACATCTGACATGCAGGAAATATCATATTGTTTCTAAAGAAAATAGTTTTAGCTGCTTTTCCCATAAATGCCAAGCATGTTCTTCAGGTGGAACATCAAAAAATGTTGTTTCATTACTGTACTCTTGTATATCAATGTGAATGTTGGTGTGTGCTTAGCTGTCAGATACCACTCTTTAAGGCCCTTTGGTTTGAACTTAAATATACATGGTAATTTCAACCTAGAAAGAGCTGTTAAATGTCAGTTTTCAATAAACCTTGCTCCTCAGATGAAAAGCCTGTTTGTATAATTAGCAGATATTCTCAGGCACAATTGTGTGGTTTCTGAATAGTTGCTTTCACATGTAACATCAGAAAAACATCTTTAAAAAACTGTTCTTGGCAAGAAGATTGTTCACTTACAGTAATAGTGTGAATAAGAGATCATCAAAATGTTACTGTTTAGAATGTTCCTTAACACCAGTAAAGGTACTTGTACTCTGTACTGTCAGTGACTGTGATCCCCCAAGTAGCAGAAGACTATTGGCTGAGCAGCGCTGTGCGGGGGTGTCTTGGCCTGCAACTCAGAAGTCACTCATGTGATTGGCAAGGCATCTGAGGGCTTTTTAATACTGTCAGCGAGAGCACTAATTTCCTACTAACTCTCCTGTAAGTATTAAGGAGACCATAAAACATGATGTGAAAAATGACCGACAGCTCGACAGATCAAGCCCCAGGGGACGACTCCTTCTTTTCTTGCCTATTTAAGAGTTTAAGATGCAAGTTGACTTGATTGACGGTTGATTTTTTTCCCAAATGTGTCAGGTGTAAAGAAAAAATTTTAATTCATGAGTGAATGAGTAAAAAAAAATTGAAACTTTTAAACTGTAGAACGTACGGTAAAAATGTAACAGTGCAAAAACAGTTACAAATGAGAGGATGCCATTTGGTCCGCCTTGCTTGTTTGGTTGTTTAATCAAGAATTTATTCAACTGATTTTTTTAAAGGATCCCCTTTGAGTCAATATCATCCGCATGACTAGGGTTTTGTCCCTTTGTTTAAAGATGTATCTCCTGTAGAATCACTGTCATTTTTATATCCACTTGTGTCTCCAGGAGAACACAGATCTTGTGGTAAAGTGTACGTCAGTTAACGTGTTTAGCACTTTGGCATTTGCCATCTTCACATTCACAGAGCATTGGCCTGGTTAAGTGTCAGCTTTCATTGTTTACACAACTGCTGCGGGGTTACTGTTACAGTTCTGCAGCATATTTTTTGTATTTAGAGTCCTGTGCATGTGCTTTGTTGATCTTTTCTTTTTCAACCATAATATTTACAAGTCCATAGGAATGAAAGATGGGGAAAGTTCTTGAGTGAAGGTCCTGGAGTGAATAGTGAATTGTAGTTTTATATCTGCCTGAGCTCCACAGTGACATCGTTAGCCTGATTGCTTAATTAACTGTGTAATTAGTAATATGTCTAACTTGGTGCAGACGTGCATTGTAGAATACTGTACCTCTTATAAAGTAAATGTTCTGAATAATCAGCTATAAAATACCAAAATAAATACCATATATAGATCAAAGATAGAAAATAAATATGTTTATTGTTTTAATTGTTAATTGTTTAGTTGCCTACTCAGGTTTGAACAAAAAAACAGAAAATATGAGGACTTCCAGGAGCTGAGTTTGAAACTCTGCATGAGTACCTCATTTTACAGTTCTTTTGAAGGCTGCCTTATGTTCCCACTGCATTTTCTCCAGGTGTATCTCATCTCTAAAGTAGTTGCCCTCCATGTAAAGTCATATAGGATTCTTACACTAACATTTTAATAATTGATTAAGCTCCACAGAGACAAACATACTTATATAGTGTATATCATGATGTTCTGTGATAAATAGATTAAGAGTGATCTTGTCTTTTAATTTGTATGCTGATTTTTCTTATTAAGGTTTGTTTAAAACCTTAAGGAATTGACTGTCCAACAGCAGAAGCATCTTCAGAAGCACAAAAAAAGACTAATTTACGTATTTTTTGTTTACAGATTGGGGCCTACGATCAACAGATATGGGAGAAGTCAGTAGAACAAAGAGAAATCAAGGTAAATTGTTGTGGTCTATAAGCAGTCCTTTAATTCTGTATTGTTGGTCTCTGTCCTTTATTAAAACACTCATTAGTCTATACTTTTGCAGTGCATGCCAATCCCTAAATTGTACTGTGAATATTTCTGTTAGATATTTTCTTATTCTAAATTCTAAAGCTTAAATTCTTATTACTAAAGCTGGGATTGCTCCTATCTGTTTGTCTTTAATTGAAAAATGTACTTTTGTGACTTTCTGGTTAGTAATTTTTTCCCCGATTAGTCACCTTATGTTTGCAGTTTGCTTTTCCTCCTTTCTGATGCTGTCACATCTCTGTGCAGTTTATTAGTCTGGTGAGTACTTCAGGGGATTGCTTGTGCCCCTTGCTCTGCTGTGGTGAGCTAGTGCATTCTGGTATTCTGGTCTGCCTTAACCGATATGCACATTTGTGTGACCAACTGTTGACAGTTGGAAATCAATAAAAAAGCCATTATACTGCACAAATACTGTATCAGATCACACCCCTTTTGTTATGACAATCATTAATCACTTACTGCATGTAATTTCTTACCTAATTTTAATTGCATAAGGACTTCTGCTTCAGGTAGGTCAATCTAAACATTAAGTAGAACACTTGAAACGAGGTCTTGGGTGAACTGGGTCCTTATTGATTCTTAAGTAGGAACTCGGTGGTCTGAAACCTTCCACTGTCTGCAAAGGAAATCTCACCTCTCTGTCCGTTGGCAGCTGCAGCCTCTATAGACCTTGACACCTGCCCACTCCATTTCATAAACAGAACCAAAGACCCCTGCTCCCCTCAGCTTGTCCACCGAGGACGGTGACTGAAAATTAATTAAAGTGAATATAAACCATAGACGGAATCCAGTAGCAATAAGAAACATTTTTTTTAAATCTATCAGGTTAAAAATGTTTTTAAGTGGCTAGCTGTCCAGGCAGCAATGTGTGAAAAGCACATACTGTGCAGATGCAGTTTCATATATGCTGTTGTGACTATAGTTTTTTAAAGTGAAAAGACATGCAGTTTTTTTTCTTTTAAAAGTCTGTTGTGTCAATACAAATGTAAATTTGTATTGTAAAATGTGCTGCTGGAGGTTACATGGCATGTACAGAACAAAACCTTGATTTTTTTTATTGGTCATAGTAATGGTCTCAAACACACTGGCGTAGGCACACCCAAGGCGTTAACTAACAAATACTCTCTCATGCCTGGAAAACCTCTTTTTGAAAAAGTCCTGTGATTTAAGAAGTCTTTCATCTTCTGAAAACAAAATGAAAAAGTGGATGGAGTTGGTATGAAACCACTGACATTAGAGCTATGGGCAGTTATTGTTTTAGACCAGATCATAAACGTCTTTACTAACTACTTAATTCACCTGTCCACATTTGTTTTTCGGCATGATTGAGTGAGATTTATATGGTCTTGTCCTGTTCCAAAAACTAATTTTTTAATGCACCGAACATCAGAAATAAATCTTATTAATCGTATTTCTGTCTTCTAATGTATAGATTTACAATTGGACCTGAATATTTTATTATTTTGAAAAATAAAATATTTAAAATAAAAATAAATATGGATTTTATCTTTGAAAAAATAAAAATATTTGAAAAAATCTTAAATAATTATTTCAGTTTTCACCAGTTTCTTCCTTCTGATACACCTCTGTATGTAACACAAAATCATAAACCATGCAGGGAATTGAGGTAAAAACCACTGGAGCAAAACTCTATAATAGTGATAAACACTTACAAACCAGGCTAAGGAAACTTACCTGTGACTGTGGCAAAAGCACTAGCAATCGGAATTATCTTAAGATGGCATCACACTACATGACTCGAAAAGACTTCTAGTCAGAGAGCATGTCAAATTTAACAACTACAGTCGTTGTTCTCACTGTCTTTTCTGTCGTAGAGGGTGTCAAATTATATGACTAGGTATCGCAGGGGGTGACTAATTACACAATTCCCTCCCGACTTTTCATCATGGTTCCAAATCTTGTATTGCGCTGCAAAAGTACAGTGAGGTCACCTCATTTTGGCGGCCAATCAATGTGGAGCGCACAGGAATAAGAGGACGAGTACCGCACGAAAGTAAACAAACAACAGACATGAAACGACAAACGCGAAACATTGAACAGACATCTGTGCTGGCTCCAAAGTCCTATGAGCCTCTCCTCCATTTGCACTCGTTTTCCTTCTTTCCTTGCAGCCGCATTGTATGCATTGTACTTCCAGTTGACTGTTCATTGGCTGTTGACTGTTGCAGACACAAGAGTCCACCCCTACGACTTGCGACTCGCTACGAGAAACTCAAACCAGTTTGATATTATCGTAGCAACTCGCAGAGAGTTGTAGGGGCTGTTAAGAGCGCTATGACTGTGTCGATGGGGTTGTCACACTACACAACTACACGACGGTAACGGGCGCGACCTGCGGCTCTCTGGAACTCTCTGTGATTTTCTTACAGTTATGTAAATGAAGGCTATGACTGAAAATCCTAGGAAAAGTCGTGTAGTGTGAGGCCAGCATTATCCGTTCTTTGGATGAGACATAAAACCGAGGTCCAGACTCTCTGTGGTCTTTAAAAATCCTAGGGTGTTTCTCAAAAAAGGGTAAGGGCGTAACTCCGGCGTCCTGGCCAAATTTCCCATTGGCCCTTACCAATCATG